AAAAAAAAAAAAAAAAAAAAAACCATCTCTTCTTTTCCATGTTTGACTTGACCCAAGATTTATAAACTTTCTTGAAATATTAAATTGGACCACAAAATATTTTTTTAACCTAAAGTATTTTTCAATTTTTTATGAAATAATTTTCATGACTTTAGTAAATTAAAGTCATATATTTTACGACAACCAAACGCAATAATCATTTATGCCAAAAAGAATAATAAGAATAAATAAATAAATAAAACAAATTATCCAATATAAATACATTTGAAAGATTATTTTTGCTAAATATTTTTTAAATCAAAATAAGCAAAAAGTAAATTATTAACAAGGAATCAAATTAAATTACATGCAGAGATTATCACAAAGAAAAAGGCAAAAAGAGAATAAAATATTTGTAAAAGACAAATAAAAGTTAAGATATTGAAATTAATTTTTTATTTTTATTTATTCATTCTTAAAAAAATTGGAATCTCATTCTTTCATTTAGTGAAGCTACAAGTTAGGTATCGTTCACAAGTAATATACACCAATAAATACAAAATAATAATAATAATATAAATTTAAAATCCAATAAATTCATCTCGTGAGAAGTAAGAATAGCCTTAAATTAATCTCTTATCTTATCGAGAATCATCTGTAAATAACAGCTTTAATTCAATATATCAGTTTCAAGTCAATTATATTCTTTCCCTTTTTTTTTTTAATTCAACAAAGCATTTAAAGATGAGAAGATTCAAACATAAAGCATCTTAACTAAGAACGTAGATCTTAATATACAATATACATAACATCACTCATCTATATACCTGATCGAGATATGAGTACTTACATTTATCAGTTTCACTTTACTCCGGCCTTCCCAATATCCAAATATAGTAAATCTGTAAATACAATTCGAGCATAGTTCAATAGATAAAACAGCAATAGATAAAACAGCTAGAATTGACGTATCGGTTAAAAAAAACATTAAAATCCTATGCAATTGAGTTGAAAGGATGATTAGATACCCACCACAAACAAGCTATTGATTAGAATAGAACCATACTGATAGCCCTCACTCAAAAGGCTGAACACTTTGAATGCAATCTGCTACAGAAGAAAACATCATGATATCGTTAGTACAGTCGACTCAAACACTATGAACCTCTGACAATTATTATTGATGCATACCTATGTAGAGTGCTGATGATGCTCAGGCTCATAACACATGATGATTACAGACAAAAGCAGCTTCCTACTAAAATAACGAACAATAGGCAGGACTGGCTACACCCAACAATCAATGGCTGATTCTTAAAATATGAGAAAGAAAAAGGATATGGGGAGAGAAAGAGAGAGTTTAGAAGGAACAAAAGAACCGAGACTTCAGCTGTACATCTGAAAGAAACTACTGTGCTAAGTACAAGTTTTAAGCCGATTATGGGCTTTGTAAATTACAAGCTATAAAGGTACAAAAAAAAAAAAAAAAAAAAAAAAAAAAAAAAAAAAAAAAAAAAA